ACTCACATCTCTGTCTCTCTATCAGAATATTTTTGTGGCAGCTTCAGCAGAAAAGAGGCAGAGAAGTAGAGTGGAAATGACAGACTTGGTTTTATTTAATGCCAACTCCTGTCCCTCTGGTGTGTGTGTGTGTGTGTGTGTGTGTGTGTGTGTGTGTGTGTGAGTGTGTGTGTTTGTGTGTGTGTAAGTTGTATCTGCTTGTGTGTTTTTTGTGATGCCCTCATTTTTCACTGAAAGGTCCTTTAGCTGTCTTCAGAAAACAAACAAAATGTTCGACAAAGAAAACGTCAGTTCAGATCTTAATGTGTTGCTGCTGACTGAGAATGAAGCGATGACTTTCACAAATAACTTCACCTCTACACTGCATCGGCCTTTCAGACCAACAGAATGCACTACAACATGTATCACATCACATTCAATCCTACATGTGTTCATACGCTCTCATTGAACAGACTCATTGTGATGAAAAATACTGGTCCCCACCAGGTAAAGCATTCAATTTAAGGGTAAGTATTTGTTTTCTGGTTCGGGTTTAGGGTTGGACCAGGTCAACGATTAATGAGTAAGGGTCAGGGTAGTATAGGACAGTTTCATCCATTGCCTTAGACACGGTGCCAGATGTTTCCAATTCAAAAGTTTAGGGAAGCTGTTGTGCATCAGAGATGGGAAAGTTAACGAAACATACATTTGCCAAACCAACCTTGTACAAGTATGTTCTTAGAGTCCTACCAGAGTAGTGTCATCGCTGCTCCTCGGGTCCCTGAGTGAAACAATATGAGAACAACAATCAAGTTGTGTCCAAGAGTTTCAATATTTCCGACATGGTGCTTAAAACCAAACATGTGCAATTAAATCCAGATTGAATATGTATATAATGTAAATGTTGGTGCAGTTTATTCTTAAGCCTTAAATGACAAATTTGTACTCATGAATTGTCTGATGACATGAAAGTCACGGGAATCTTTGCCATATCTACTGTCCATCTCATATGAGTTAATGAGACATACCACGTATGGTTGGTAATGTTAGTGTAAGTTTCCAGGGAATTATTGTAAATGATTAACAACAAGCCTGTGTGTGTGTCTATCTGTTCCTCTTGCCTTTATGCATGAACATGGTGTGCTAACGAAGCCAACAGCATGTCCTCATTTCTCTCTCCGACCATTTCTCTCTGCGTATGCCTCCCCCTCCTCCCCCTCCTCCCCCTTCCTTTGGCCCCAGCCTGTGCTGGGCGGCATGGCCGGCAGGATCTTCCTTCCTTTTCTGTATCATTGAAAATCGACCGGCTCGGGTAATGGAGCAGTGGAAAGGCAGAGCGAATGCTTCCCTACCACTGCAGCTGCTCCTGGCCATGGCAACTGGGGCAGAAAATCTGACTTATCTCTTCGTCATAATCAGCAAATGATCCCGGTTTCGATCTCCCTGATCCTCTGTGTAGCTTTTTTTGTCTTTTAGAGTCTAACAACCGAGTAGCATGGAGCACCAGTGGTGGCTGCATGTTTGAGAGAATGTTTTCATAGACTTTTACATACCCGTTCTAGTCTGTGCAGTCCCTATAGTCTGGCAAGATGATATGAACTAGAGACAAACAAGGGACTTTTGTTCTATCCTCCAAATCTTGTTATTGTGGATTACGAGTTCGAGACCAGAGAACTGCTATTAATCTGTATTAAAACACACAAGCTGCACACAAGCATACAGATTGAGATAGCATTCATTTTGGATCTGAACAATTCTCTTTGAAATCCACAACTTATTCTAAATTAGGCTATGGTCCTCTTTCCCTCTGTTGTCCACCTCCCACTTTCTCTCTCTCTCTTACTCGTTGTCTCTGTCTCAGACGACCAGGCTCAGAGGAAGATTTAGCTTTATTCTTCTGGGTGCTGCTCCTTGGAAGAGCTGCTGGTCGCTCAGCCAAACAGGATGAGTGACTTTAGACACTTACAGTTTGTAACGCAAGGCTTTCTATTATAAATGTGTCTCCAAGCACACACTGAGGAAACCCTGATGACATTAATCAGGTCATTCTCAGAAAGCTCTGTTTTCAAATGCTGAGTAGGCTTTCACTTTGATGACGAGTAAACTGATCTTGCTATGTAGTCAGTGGAGTCAACCTTCAATTAATAGTAACCCTAACTCTATATGCAAGGTGGCCTCTGTTTCCTTGGTCTGAAGGTTTCAAACTGAGTCAAAATAAATGCAAAAGAACAAACTCGTGGACACAGCCGCAGGCAAATGCTCCTATTGTTGTTTACCTTTCTGTTTGGGTTGAAAGGTCACTGAACACACACTGGAGCATGACTGTTAAATAGTTGCTGGAACAGCAACAGCAGTTTGATGAAGAGCACAGCGACATTTGTAGTTTGTTTTCACACATATGCACAGTGTGCGTGTGTGGGTGTGTGTGTGTGTGTGTGTGTGTGTGTGTGTGTGTGTGTGTCCAGGCAGTCATGCCTTTATGTTGTTGCATTAAGCATCAGCCGGTTGAAGTTACCTGAAAGGCCAGCTGCACCTCTACAGTGACTGAGTAATCCAACAACCTAACATATTGCATTAGGTTACACACATCCACATGCTTAGACAGACACATTCTTATTCAATGCAAGAAGAGACACAAATAATACAAAAGAATGGATTCCATGGTGCTCTCTGTCTGCTCGGTTCAATTACTCTTCTTCCTTCTCAAGCAGAAAAAAGGTGAAATAAAATGTGGATGAGAACGTTACAAAGCTCTTTGTCTCCTGTTCCAAAATAGTCAGTCGTTTTGACCATTCTGTCAGAAAGATCTCTCTTCATAATTAAAGCACAGATTGCTCTCGAGACCTCCCCTCAGCTCTCGTGACCTTAATGTGAACTCATTTCCTTAATTAACATGATTGGAAGTGGAATGAGACTAATTACTGAAGTAGGCTGAAATTGAAAGACCGTCCAGAATGTACATTTACCTCCAGCGCAGGATAAAAAGACTGAAGCAATTTGTGTGCACTGACACAGAAGAGTTTGTTTGGGTGTTAGATAAGCAGGAAGGCCGTGCCTACTAGATACGTGAGTGTGTGTGTGTGTGTGTGTGTGTGTGTGTGTGTGTGTGTGTGTGTGTGTGTGTGTGTGTGACAGATAGGCTAGGTTCCCCGTGGGCAAGTCCTGGCAATAGCTGAGCAGAGATCAGGTGCCAGAGCAAGGCAGCATTTAATGAGATGCTCAAAGCCAACAAAATGTGACCTGCATGTGTGCAGCACAGAGGTATGTGTCCATGTTGGTGATGAATGAACCATCAAATCACATGCATGTGATTATGTGTTTGTGCGTGGGTGCAGAATGATTCACCTTGCAGTTCTTCTTCCAGCTGCTATAGCTGACAATTAATTACGCGGAGAGAGAGAGAGAAAGAGACAGAGAGAGAGAGAAAGAGAAAGAGAGAGAGAGACAAAGAGAGAGAGAGAGAGAGAGAGAGAGAGAGAGAGAGAGAGAGAGAGTCCATTCCATTTCCTACACTGGCTCGCCTCGAGTTCTTTACGAGTCAACTAACAGCTTATTTGATTGCTTAAATAAATTACACAATTCAAATTTATCTGAGCTGTCTGTTCTCTGTAGAATGCTGCGGCTGTCGGACCTTTGCACCTCCATAAATCCACTCCCATTCTTCTCGTAGCAGTAGTAAACTGAACCAGAGGAGATGTGTGTTTCTCAATTTTCCAACATGGAAACTCTCTGCGAGATCGATAACGAGATCACTTCATCCGCTCAGCTTGTACAGCAGGTAATTAGATTGATTGTGCCATAGTGTGCTCATCCTCACCACTTCACCTTTTATCAGTGAAAGGTGATAGCTTTGGAATAACAACATGTAAAATATAAGCACAACCACTCCCAGTCTTGTGGCCTACCTTGTACTGGAATCAGGTTGTAACCAGGGTCCATGATGCCCACATGCATTAAGAGCTCGAATCAGATTACATTCTGTGATGTGGCACAATGTGTTCTTTCAGTCATCTGGGATCCTTTTTTCCATTCAAGTGTCGTTATAACATTGGCATGGATTCAGTTTTTCTGAAAACATTCTTTGTGATTGTTGCCTCATACAGCCTCCTGTGACATGATAATCTCGTGGCATACACCATGGCATGCCACGAGATTATGGCATGTATGTACGCAGTGACATTGCATAATAAGCGTGTGGCTGAATAAATGAAGCATTAAATTGAACTCGGATGATTTACAATAATGTGCCGACTCACTGCCGATAAAACCATGTGATGTGCTTCTGAGAGGAAACATACAGGTCCCTGCTTCCTGTAAGATGATCTGAAGTCATTTCTCATGAACTAAAGTCACACATCTATGACTGTTACACTTAAAGGAGCGTGGCAATAGTCCAACCCAATCCTTTGCCCATTTATGTTAACTTTTGTGCAGTAACTTGATGTAGACCTTTGATGAAGTGTCTTATTAAAGGGTACTTTCTGTATTTTTCAACCTTTTATCGAAGAGATTTAATGGGGACCACATTCTTCTTAATGGGTCCAGTACTGAGGAGCAGCGCTGCAGCTGGAAACCACGGAAAGGACTTTTTTTTGTCCCATTAGTCACTTGGGCAGAAAACCATGGAATAAAGAGTCCAGGTTGAAACATACTGAAGTGACCCTATTGTCTGCAGTTTCAAGCCCCACTTTGTGGCTTAATGGGTTCACATTTGTTGTCTGTCTTAAAGCAATTATTATAAGCCCTTAACTTATGACCACACCCATCACTGGTGCTAAATATGTTATGTAATATACCTGATATTTGAATATATGGATGTACACTGCTCTTACACTATTAAATTATACTATTGTATCATTTTTAATTATTTTGCATTGCCTTGCATTTGACCTGCATCCAACTGGCCTTTTATTTAATAATATGTCACACCAGTATATCTATGTCTGTCTGTCATTTATTAATTTATTTACCACTGGATGGGATCCGTCCTCCGCAGTCCACGTCCTCCCTCCATCCTCTAACGGGCCAGCCCTCCTCCGTCCCGCCCTCAGCCCGGCTCCGCTCCGGCAGCATCCGTCTCCGCACTGGATCACTTACTAACGCACACCAAAAGAGGCTGCGGGGAAACAGAACTGGCGACAGAACAGGGGGTGAAAAAAGCACATCACACGAGCTGTTGCTGCTCAACATTGTGAAGGCGGACCGTGTTACAGAAAGCCACCAGCAGCCGGCTGTCCTTTATTATTGAAACTGGACAGCACACAGCGGTGGTACTCCGGAGGTCCCACTCAGATGTTGAGGTGCACACTGCAGGACTGTGTGTGAACAGTAAAATGATTTGATATTCGCACTGGATACAACCAATCGGTGTTGTAGATGATAAGAGGGAGCATGAAGTTTGCGGTCGCGGTGCTGTGCTGGTCCCTCACTCTCGGGGAGGCTACTATGGAAGGTAAGAACACAGTCGTCTTTAACTGTTGAAGCTGACCTAATGTTTCGTCTTATTTTTCTACACTAAAGGTAAATTGACTTGAGATACAACATTCACCAAAGTATGTGGGTGTTTCTGGTCAGCATTTGGGATCGTGTTGCGTGATCAACACACAGCATCCCCTCACAGTCCCATTAATCCAGCAGCGTGGTTGGCTAATGTGTTCCATCCTGAACTAATTATTCTTAATTCGGAAACTGTTTCACTGTTTAAGTGTGACTGCACTTTGAATCGAGCAGCGGGACAAAACGATAGGGTCATGTGAGAGGAGCACGGTCATTATTTATTAAAGAACGGGAGCGCAGCGCCCCCTTGGGACGTATGACTGAGCGTGGTTGTATATCACGCTGCAAGAGAACAATATGGGACAATGAAACACATTGCAATGAATGGGAAAAGAATTCCCTAAAATAATAAAGCTGCTCAGGTATGGTGTTGTTATGAAAAGTAAGGAATCAGATAGTGTGTCACTGTGGTACAGTCAGTCTTCTCTCTCTTCTTTCTTACTGTGTGTGTGTGTGTGTGTGTGTGTGTGTTGCTATCAGTTTATGGTACATCATTTACATCCCTTTAATCTGGAGATGGAGTGACTCTTGCAACACATGCTACAGGCCTACATCCCTCCTGCTGTCTGTGTGCTAGTGACAGGGAGCAGGAGGGAGAATTAATGACAAGTTGATGAAAACGATTAATTCATCACCATCAGCGACCATTAATCTGTCCCAGACAGCCTCAGTGAAGTTAATGAGGAATCACATTTTAAACTGACGCTGAGCTTCTTGCAAGGGCATCATGTCACCCAGCAGGCTGGCATGCCATTCATGCCATGCTTAGACTTTAAATGTTCACTTCACCCAAATTACAATTATTTCTTTTTTAATTCTCACTTCCTTCAAGCATCGTGCAGATATCTCTGGTTTTATTTGTCCAGGTTTTCAGATATTGGTTTCCAACATGTATGGTGTCTAAATAAAACTAAATAAAGATGAATGGAAAATTACCTTTACAATTTCAAACAGAAATAATGTCCCAGTTATTCTGGATGTATTCCAGATACCTTGCTGACAACAGTCTCCATAGGAACTATTTATTTGAAAGTAGCTCCAATGGAAACAGCAGGTGTAGGCTGTGTGCGGTAATCTAGCACCTCTGGTCATGTGATGCTGAGTATCTTTGACATCCAATTACTGTGTGTGAACCGACATGTCTTGGCATATATGCTCATACACACGTACATGCCTCAAGGGCATTATGACTGATGGGGTTAACCATTGTGAAAGGTCTTGGCTCAACCAGAGTCATAATTATGAATCCACTCCATTCTCAAGACCTGCGTAAGTAGTTTAGGTAGAGATGATTGGTTAAGGTTGGACATTGACCGTGAGTAATTAGGGTCAGGATAGGACCTTAACAAATCAGGTTACCGGTATCTCGTAGAGCATGGGCCCCTGGCCAATCTGAGTGCTTGAGTGCTAAAAGGAAAGCAGTGGGATTCATAATAACGTCCCCCAGAGATAAATGTCCTGTTGTATTATGGGTAAAGCTGTTGCATTGTGAGCAGTGGGCTCAGTTCTCTCTTGATTCTTGCCTTCAAAATGTTCCCTTTTCCAAAGGTCTGGAAGCATCTCATTAGAAATCAATGAGAACTAAAACACACTTCCTTTTGCAGCAGTGTGAAGAAAAGGAAATAGCTCCCCTCTGTTGTTCCTCCCATCCTTTTACCCCCTCAGTGGTATATCCTACTGGTTCCACAGTGAACAGATGGTGGATGGGACAAGGTGATCGTACCACTGTGTCAGCCATGGGCTGTTTTAGATTGAGGAGATGGTGTTTGTTTGAATGCTGGGCTAGCCTGTGTCAATAATCAGCACACTGTAGTTTGTCTGTCTTACTTACACACAAACACAGACATACTGTACACGCACACACAGTGTGTGTATGTCTGTGTTTGTTATGTCCTCTGTCCTCAGACACATATGAATGCATCATGATTTCCAAATCAGCCCCATCCCCCCTGTAAGTTCTAATCAATAGTATGCCCTTCACCTCTGCTCAATCAACCACACGCACACACACACACACACACACACACACACACACACACACAGAGTCAATCAGTCTCTGAGGGAGGGAGCCGGCTCTTGTGGTGTTTAACTAGTTTGGCCCCTTGTGTTTTTGTTGCTGCTGATCTTGAGACAGAGTTGCTTCCTGTAGAGACGGTAGATCGGAAGACTGATCGTACTGTTGGGCCATTTCAAGCCCTTACAAACTGTGCTTCACAGGGGATCTGATGCAATGGGAGGTAATCTGAGTCTGAACAGTCTGTGTACTTTAACTTCGGATTTTATCACACCCAACAGGAAACAGGAGTAGACTAAAGACAGGGAATATAAGGGTTCATTTGTGTCAATGCACATACACTCTTAAGCCATTTTGTTTTCTCATTTCAACATTAACCACATGTTTAAAACTGCAACTGTATTATACGTTTCCCTTGAAGCATAACTGAGAATGCAGTTTACTTTTATGCTATTTGTAGGAGACAAGGTTGCACATGCACACAGGTATTGGAAAACACACATACATGTTTGTCTTACCGTACGAACTAGTAGAAACTATTGATAAAAACAAACCCAACAATGAAGTGATCTAACAAGTAATGTCTGTGTATTCAAATCCATTGAGCTACCGGTTCTTTGAAGAAACTGAGTTTCATCCACAATCCACTGAGAACAAGAAGCAACAAAACAGACAAACTGCATTAGGCCTAACGCTGCAGGAACGAGAGAGGTTCTGTTCTACAGATTGAGATGATAAGCGGGTTGACTGAGTGGTTGTTTTACTGCAGAGCAGAGTGACATAGACACTGTGTGTGTGTGTGTGTGTGTGTGTGTGTGTGTGTGTGTGTGTGTGTGTGTGTGTGAACAAAATACTGTGTGACAGAAAAATAAAAATGCGTGACAAAAACTAGACTACAACTATACTAAAACAAAAATGAATTGACCAAACTTATTTGACAGACAAATATATGTGAATCATAATTATGTGTTTCATAGTAATGGGCCATCACCACACAAACATTTGTGCTTTTTTTAGGATGTCCTTCATGCTGTTAGGCTGATAGCGATCCTAAACCTTGAACCCTTAAGTTTCATCCTTCAAATAGCTCCTTTAAGGGAACTTAAACAAGAAATACAGACAGATAATCATACAGCTATTGCAAAATTGTTGTGGATAATGAATGTGTACATTCAGGGACAGATAAATAGGTTAAGTTGGAATCAACCCCAAAACTAAATATTGAACTACAGCAGAATAAAGTGTATTAAGTAATCTCTGTAGCATGTCAGAAGAGAGGGATTTGCTTGCGCAGTAACAACCTTGTGTTAAGAAACAAGCTGAAACGGGAATTTGCTCTCAACTTGCTCTCTGTTTTGCTGTCTGTTCTCGTTCCCCTTGCCCCAGTTATCTTCTCCTCCTGCCCCCTTGTCCTGTTTCTCTCAGTTACTGAAGGGAATTGCTCTGGGTCACTCCGTCTCACTCCTTCCCTTATCAGCTCTCTCCAGGCCTCTGCTCCATTCCCCTTGTTTGAGAGGCTATTGATTCAAACTTCTCTTTTCTGTCTATCAGCCGCCGTCTCTGGTGCAACACTACCATTGGCAGCGCCAAATATTGTCCTCTTATTCCAGTTGAGTGCTCAGAACTCAGTGTTGATAGAGTTACTGAGGGAGCCTATGTGTTGTGCAGCTCAAGTATAAATACCAAATAATGCAGAGCGGCAAATGCTGCTGTCGTCCGCATCTTTCATGAGTTATAATGCGTAACAGGGAAGCGGTGCAATGCCTTGCTCAAGGACAGTTTGACAGGACATATAGCTCCTGATCAGCATGCTGGCTGTCAGTAGAATTAATGCAAACGTTAAGCCACTGAGGAGTCTCTGATAATGTACTTTTGACTGAGTCAAACCAAACTGAATTAAAGTGTGTTTTCTGTACTTGTCTATCTAAGAGACCTGATATCTCCCAGCTGTCTGCTCTTGACCAGGTGGCTGATGAAGTGAAGGCAGTGTTCCTCTCCTGCTCAGAGTGAGCGTCACTCTTTAACTGACTATTATGTCTTGTGCCTGGCTGCACAAAGCGCTCTGAGCTCAGCTTGTCTCCCCTGGCAATTGTTCTGTCTGAGGTGATCATGTCAGCATGATCATGTTGTCAGCCTTGGGAGCTGAGATGCATTCACTCAGCCATGGCCAGCTGTCAGTCCAGGGCTGACAGTGTGTGTGTGCCTGACTCTTAGGCCCTGACTTCATTTTTCCCTCCACTTGCTTTTGAGACTCTGGGGAGGTTCACTTTGTTCATGCACGACTGTGTCTTTGTATGTTCTTAAACATGTAAGAAATAGCTGACATGTATACACACATCTTTCTGTGTACATGAATATTACATGCATGCAAAAGAAGTCCAAGACAGCGTTCTTAAATGTCTTGCTTCGTCCATATTTAGTGGCATGGCTCTAGGTATGACAATGTCGGTCTGTTGGTTGATCAGTCAGGTCACCACTTTGGCCCAGACTCGGGGTGGGTGGTATACCGGTATATTACGGTCTTTACCTGATACACACATACAAGGACGAAGAAGATACAACATCCGAAGAACTATGTCACTCCCACAATGCTGTCTATGGCAACGTACGAGCCACCGCTCTTCCGTGTTGTTGCAGAATCCCATGCTTTTCATTTCAGCAGCCATGATAAAACGTCAGAGCAGTAAAACAACAGTAAATATGTGAAAAAAAACAACATTTTTCTAATTATTCTATTTGCTGAGATCCAGGTGCTCAGCAAGACAATTCCCTCACAGCTCAAACCAACAGCATGGCAGCTACTGACTCACACATTTGATTTAAATTATGGAGCAGCCTACTCCTCCAACAACACATACAGGCCTATAGCTTTTATCTTCCATATCTAGATCCAACAAACACATCCGTAGTTCGTGTTTTATCCCTTACCTAATATACGTTCCCTTACCAATAGAGTGCCAATAGAGTGAACATTGGTAGAATCATGTTTTGAGTAGCGTGACCCTTTTGATTTTGTAATACTGTAGTATAATATCACTGCAAAAGACCAAAAATAAATACTGTGGTATACATTTTAGGACCCTTAGTCATTGAATGGACTGCAATATTTCAACAGATATTCACAGTACCCAGAGGATGAATCTTTGGCAATCCTCTGACTTTTCCTCTCGCACCAACATGAGGTTGACATTTGTGGTTTAAAGCAGAATGTCTTGACAACTATGCACATGTGAAATTGACATCTGAAGTGACAAACAGCAGCAATATCAGTCCTCCATCAGTGTCCACACAGGATTCGTTCAGACTCAGTATTGAGCGTAACACAGTGTCTACACAGCTAATGTAGCAAAAGCAGCATGTTAGCAGAGCAACAGCATCAGATTCAGAGTCATCTACAAACGTCAGCACTACTTATAATCATATCCATCGTTATATTCTCATGAACGATACAATTTTCTCTCCCAAACTTGCTTCTTCTCTATGTTGTCTTCATCTCTATTTTCTTCTCTGGCTTCTTCCAGCGCAGGAAGACTTTGTGTCGCTGGCCGAGATGGAGGATTCCTTGTTGAGGAACCTTTTCAGGGGTTACCAGAAGTGGGTGCGGCCTGTCCATCACTCGAACGACACCATCACTGTATGCTTTGGACTCAAGATCTCACAGCTGGTTGATGTGGTGAGGAAACAACACCTGGATACACAAACACACAGGAGGCTCTGTCTAGAAGAACACGCAGCATTCTCGTGTCCTGTTTACCTGCATGAATACTACCTGATCAAATTTCTCTGTTTCCACTCTACGGTCATCTTTAAGGCCAGTTTGTGCTGTTGAGGTAGTTAAATTAGATGAGAAACTTACTCCCTGTAAGTTTATAGGAAATAGATAACAAAGTGAAAGTGAATAAAAAGGATTAGGCCATTTTTGTTGTGAATTCTCTCAAAGTTGTTTTTATTTGTGTGGAGATTTTGATTCTCCGTCTCATTTGTTTGCAGCCTTTGAGATTACTTTGCATTTTAGTACAATTGGCAGAAGGAAAGAAGGGAAATCACCCTTTGAAAAGCCAATCAGAAAGACAAAGATAACAGAATGCTGAGGACATGACCTCATCTTCCTGAATGGTAGCTCTGGCTCTGTCCATGCCATACATTATGTGTTGTATTAATATTAGATAGATGTGAATCAGCATTGATCACATCCTGAGCTCCCTTGAGCAAAGTAGAACCAGACATAGAGGCTCTCCTGCTTCCAGCAGATTAACAGCAAACAGCCTCTGTGTTGACCTGGTAAGGAAGCTCCCCGCAAAATAAATATAATTGCTTTATGTAACATGGTTATTAATAAAATCCTGTTACTGTCTTCTCAGGATAGAATGGGTTTCTTTTGTAATGAGAGAGGAACGGAAGGGAGGAAGTGAACTCACCATCACTAACACACATAAGAATAAGCAGAACGGAACTGTGAAAAGAAGAAAGAGTCATGGGAAGTTATAGAAAGAAGTCCATTTAAATAAGTGTGGTTCAAAGCTCATCATCTGTTTAGGACAGGACAGAAAGTTACTATTTATTGTTAAGAAGAAATGAAAAAGGAAACCAGGGGAAAGGAAGGCAGGTTAGGAGTGTGAGAGATGGAAAGGGATGGCTGTGAGGTGAACAGAGGAAGTATAGTACAGAGGTTACACTGAGGATAAACGTTTGTGCATAAACAAGGAGGAGGATGAGGAGCGGATGGACTTCAACGGGCAAAATAGAAAATAAAAAAGGGCAAAGAAGAAAGGTTAAAAGAGTCCAAAGTAGTCTTTGATAGTAGCAGAGGAAGTAATGAGGCCATCAGGCTGAGAGGAACCAGATTGCATTTATTATTTAGACAAGGGCACACACACACACACACACACATGCATGGATGCACACACACACACACACACACACACACACACACACACACACACACAC